ATTCTGGGAGTTGAAGTCCACACATCTTAAAGTGGCCAAGGTTGAGAAACACTGCTCTAGGGGGGTTGAGCCAAGAGAAGAACTGAGCTGCTGCTTGTGGCCAGTTCTGCTGGTTTATCTGCTGGTTAGAGACTGATTCCAGAGAAAAGTCTCGGTGAGTTGCTCTACAGCTGAGAGCTTCCAGGCATCTCCGGCTGTTGCTTAATCAGTGCGGTCTGTCCTCCAGGAGCGTTGGAGGAGAAGTTCTCTCGTTCCGCATTCCAAGCAGATACAAGGAACTTGGTTTGGCAAGTTTACCGCCAAGAATTACATGCATTGGTCCCGCTTTTCCATTTAACTATTCCCTGGAATTGTGGCTTCTATGCTAGAGACGTTCCTGGGCAAGTTTTGAGTCCCAGCCCTCTTCTTCCCACCTCTTTGAAGCAGCAGCCTTGGCCTTGAGCATTTCTGCCATCTCTCTTTTCTGGCATGAGAGTCAGAGATTCCTGACTCACCAGCTTCGGTACCTACAATGCGAGAGGATCATTAGTGGCTGTTGGTTGTGCCAGTGAAGTGGAACCTCCATGTCTAGAGGCAGTGTCCTTTGGGTTACTCTTTGGGGTGTGGGGGGAGTCTCTCTGAACTGGTCCAGGGTGTTTTTTCACCTGTGTTTTTTCTTTTTCCTTGATCCTCCAAGATGTTTCTGGAGTTTCTTATGATTCTTCAGGGCGCTCTTTTTCAAATTTAAAAGTTTGAGCCTGATAACATTATCTCTCATAATTTTTATGACTGGGATTGTGGATACGCAACTGTCTGGAAAAACGGTTATGCGTTGGGGAGGGGCTGAAGGGAAGTGCCACGGGTTTGCATTTGACCTGCACATGAGTTGGCGCGCACGTAGACAAGGGATTTCCGCCAAGCTCTTTCTCTCTTCCACCGCGATCTCTGGAGGAACACCGGTGTCTTGAGAAGGGCCAGCTTTATTCAGCAGAGGCTGGGTTGCGTTCTCAGGAAATCTCTACCCCAAAGCCATACTGCAGGGAGGAAACGCTCCCCCTCTTCCATTTGTGGACATTAAAGGAGGAGAGCCCTGTGAGTTGACGGTAGCAAAGAAAACAGGAGTCTGGTAGCACATTTTCCGGCACACCGGTTTTATTCAAAGGGAGAAGTTTTCGTGAATTGCAGTGGACGTTTCCCGTCTGAGGGCATTATCTTTGTGGCCAGGAAAGCAACATCAACGATGCCTGGGAACAGACATTTTGGGGAGGGCTAGAAACAGACATTGTTGCCGAGAAAGAGTTTTTCCCAGCAAGCAAAGATTGCTTAGAGAATCTCCCTGCCAGCCCCTTCAGGGCCATAATCTCTGGTGTGAAGAGGAGCTGGGATTCACCCTTGGCTTACATCCAAACCCTCCATACCCGCCCCCTCCGCCTTGCCAGGTTGCAAGCCCTCATTGGAAGGCACTCTGCACACACTCAGACACCCGTGGGCCTTGCTTCCCTGCGCTCCCAGAGGCTTCTGAGGCTTCGCCTGGGTTTCAGATCAGCTCCTCTCCTTCCCCACGGGGGCCATAAAGGGTGACACCCCCCAACTGCCTGCCCTCCCTTCCTGTCCCGCAGCACAAGGAAACTGGCTGCCTGCTCCTATTGACCTCTTTCTCTGTTTACATTTCTGAGTCTGCTGCCTTTCAGCTCCATCCCCTAATATGGACTTCGGTGCCTGCTGTCCCCCAAGACGTGGGAGGGCTGCGTTTGGAAAACCGACTCCGAGGCTGTCCGCCCTTCCCCACATACACACGCCTTCCTGCGCGTGGACGCGGCGAGGACGACCCCGTAACCCTTTCGGCGGGCGGGCGGCGCGAGGGAAGGAAAGCCGCGGCCACCGGCTTTAGCCTCTGCAACCGCGGACGCTACCGGCCTCCTCTCTCCATTGCAAGAATCCCCCCCCCGGGCGGGCACTGACCCAGCGCTCCGTCTGTGGGGTCTCCGCCGGTCTTTAAACTCTCCCCGTCTTAAGCGGCTCCGAGGAGCGTAACGGCAGGCAGAAATGCAACAGGGGAGCTTCTGTCCCCAGGCAAAGGTTGCATTTTGTTGAATTTTCAGCTTCAGGCAAAAAGCCCCAAACCAGCCAGAGACTCTGGCAGCAGAAAATGTATAATCAATACATTTATTTAAAATACTTGTTTGCTTTGCTCAGACGGCTTCCGTTGGGAGCCGGCTCCAAGGGGCTTACGTCTCCAATTACAGTAAAAATAAATAAATAAGTAAGTAAGTAAATAATAAGTAAATACGTGAAAATGAAACGAAAACAAGCAACGCGTGCAGCGCAGGACGGCCGCGCTTCTCGCCCAGCATCGCGTGGCAAGGAGAGAAGTGAAAACCTGCCGAGCAGGGGGCAGAACTTCTGCGGGAGGGTCCAAGGCGGTTTTGCGAACGCGTCGCTCTTGCTCGCGGCTCGCGGCGCCGCTTTCCTGGCCGGGGCTCCTCCCTGCGGATTCCGCCGTTCCTTGGAAAAACGGCGGGCCCGGAGGGGGGCGGGAAGGGCGGGCTGCCGCCTGCGTCACTCGAAACCGCTT